CTGGCAGGCATGGGAATATTGCACCACATGCACAGTGTCAGGGAGCTTGTCTGTGTCTGTCCGTCTGTGACTTAAGTTCAGCTCAGTTCATATGTCTGGTATCGACTGAGCCTGCTATTGTACTCTTGAACAGTAACACTACTGCCTGCCAGTAAACCATGCAGAAAATTATTCAGAGAGGCACAATCCTTTCTAAATGATTATTAAACAAATAAAAAATAAATAAGCTTCATAATTGCCATCTATTCTTCTGATCACATCTGGGATGTGTAGGATACATCTAGAATATTCTAATTATCAAACATGAATGACATTGTTGGAGTTTGCTTTGCATTGTTCCAATGTGAAGGCATTACCTGATATTATGTCAGGGTAATGTGACATCATCCAACAAAATGTCCTCTGGTGTCCAATAATCATAGTACTATAGACCGTATGGACCCACTCTGATTTTGTTATATTTCACCTGTTGAAGCGTGGCCTGATTGTTGTATGAAGTAAATATCTCATTGCAGATATGTTATCTTTATCTAAGATGTTACGGGTTCATGTAAAGAAATATCAGCCGATATATTGCTATGTTTTGAAACTAAAATATCAATTAAATAAGAAATCTTAATTCCAGTGTAGTACTGCATTTTGCTACTCTAGAGAAAAATCCATCAAATCCATATAATATTCTCTCAAAACCCACCTCCAACACTGCCTCAATAACTGTGAGGGACGGGCTGAAGACAAAGGAAAAAACTCTTGCCTCACTTGAAAACACATACAAATCCCATTGAATCATGTGAGATTAATTGAACCATTCTTTAAGGACAAAGGTATGTCAATATGAAGATATAAACCCGGCTGCCAGTGCAAATACATAATGCAGGATGAAACAGGTCAAGACGAGGTTAGGCCCAGGATGAAACTCCACAGGCTGATTTTTTTGTTAAACAAGATGTTCTCTCCCCCTAACTGACACAAAATTCAAAATAAATATCCTGGAGATCAATTCATTGTGAGTCCTCTAGAAAACAAGAATGGCAAATATTTACTCATATTGTTCCTACCCAGAAATATTCACCAAACCATAGGCTTCAGGGTATTCTGCAACGTGTTTGTCAAAGAACAACTCATAACATTTAGAAACGTAAATGTAAATAAACATTTGTAGTCAAGGTGGGGGCTACAGACAAGGCACAATTTTAATTAATGTTTGCCTTTTGCTAGTTTTTAAGTACCCACATAAAAAACTCGCTTTGGTTTTAGAACGGTGTATGTATCTCAGTTGTACAGAAATTTGGCAAAACATTTCTGCAGTTGGGTTGTGAATTTCATAACAAAATTGCACCTACTCTATTTACAACAATAATGAGTGTATAAAAGCTTGTGATTTTTTCAGAATGCTGTAATTCCTTTGCATTCAGAAGTGATGAGACAAAAAATAAAACAGGTGGTCTAATTTGTAAAAAAAAAAAAAAAGTATCCTCTATTATATATGCAGATCCCACTAATCCTTTTGACCTATGTGAACAACCTAACCTAAGATCAGGGTCGAACCTGTATGTGAAACAGGCTGCGCAGTTATATAGGGTCAACATGGGACAACAGATATTAGATGATCTTATCTAAAGGTGTAACACAAGAATATCACGGGTCATCAGGTCTGCTTTAAAAGTCCTATGCAAGCAGGAGAGCCCTTTGTTGGGAAACATTAGCTGAATACCAGTCTTTGGGTGTAAAATTTGGCATATACTGCATGATCACTCTTCTACATATTCTACTCCAAACATTTTCAGGTTGTACATCAACCGTCAAATGTTTTTCCCCCTGTTTATCACATGGGGCTGGTTATAAATCCAAGCTGATAAGTGAAACAATGACACACATGCTATTCAGTCATCCATCAATGTGGACACATTAATATTTCTCTCATATTTCTTTTCCGGATGAGTCCCATTTTGAAATCCTTATTTGCTTTTCTAAGAAGGATGTTGACACAGTTTTTCCACAGAAAACCATAAGGCAAGTGGTGAGGAATGCCAGAGTGTGGCATGCTCTCCTGCATTTCTCTCTTACAGAGCTCTTATGTGGCTTGGGAGGGATCCACATAGCCTCAGGTCTGGATACTACTTGGGACATGGGATAGTCAAACTGCCCATCATAAATGATCTGTTTGTTTCTTGATGCAGTGTAGAGGACAACACGCTGGCGACATGCTCCCAACAACTGCCACTTGTTCTTTCCCTCAAACATCCATGTCATGTTTAATCCATGAACTATTATCTAATGAAGGCCAGATTCTGGGAAAGCAGGAACTGAATCAAACCTAGCTCCGATTCCCATCCTCCACTCCACATTTTTCACTCTCACTCTAATCAGCCCATGGGCCATAAATGAGATTTATCACTGGCACAAATTGGTGAGGGGGAAAAGGGCTAGCAAAGACTAAGGAAGAGGGAGAAAGGAGGCCAAGTCACAGAGACCAGGGGGCATGAGCCATGGTTGAGCCATGGATCCCAGCTGTTTGAGCTCACGGCACCAGGGAGTGTTTCACAAACTGAAAAAACAAAACAAAAAGGAGTTTGCCATTTCCTGGTGATAGTTATCTGAATGTATTAAACAAAACCTTAAAATGAATGTATGGCAATAAACATTTCAGAGGATATCTTAACACTTCTAAGGTTTCTGATCAACCTGCTAATCCTGCTTTGTGAAATACCCCCATGTTCTCTGTGTCTCATCCTTACAGTTCCTGTAAGCTCTAAACACAGTATCAACAGATCTGGTGTGTTGTGACCCACTGAGTGCCTGCAGGGCAGGCAGCCATCAATTGTCTTGACACAGTGGGAAATTAGAAAAAGGGGGAGCTGTGCAGCACAAACATGCAACTTCACTCTCACACACAAGTCCTGTTTAGAAGTTACCTTTGCTATAACTGCTCTAGCAACCCCGGACAGGACCGAGGCATTTGTATGTTACCCCAAAATACTGGTAATAATTATTATTTTGGTTACCTCAAAAGACAGAACAAAACAAAACGAGCACCATATGACCAAGCCATTTTCCTGCCTGTAGGGTGTCTAATATTAATTTAGTTTTAGTGGATACATGTAACAAAAAAAGAAGCATTGAGATGAGGTTTTTAGCCTCTATTTCTGTTTGACAATCCAACAGTTAAACAGCGTGCCTGTTGCTGTTAAAGCCTATATTTGGAAGGAGAGACAGACCTGGCTGCAAGTGAGATTTGGCAGCAAATGGCACCAAGGCCATAGACCTTGTCACTGGCATTAAGGGCACTTGAGTAAAAGACAGGAACCATGCATGTCATTCACTTAAGTTACAGAACAGAATCCATAAACAAGGGAGGAAAGACATAATTAGACAACTGGCTAGCCACTTTAGGAACCGACTATGTCAAGGCGTGTGAGAGGCCTGACCTGCCTTGGCTGCAGGCAAGAGACACACTAGGAATGAAAGAATGAAAATTGCAGGAAAGAAAAGAACAAGAGGGGACAGCTTTGTGAGAGCTATTTTCATTTCCTCCTGGTCACTCCTTCAGTTTTCTGAGTCACCCCCAAATATCTCAGTGTGTTTGGTTTCAATCGCATATTAAGCCAACATTTGTAGGAAATACCAGTGACATGTTTACCCTTTACTCATATTGCGTAATAGGCACATCATGGTGGTACTTACAGTGGCATAATGCTGGGTAAATACACACAGTATAGCCACTTATTTCCTGATAAGCATTTAATTCTTAAGTTGGTGAATACACAGCTCCAACACCGACTAATTCAAAGGAAAATAATTGGGAAAACATACCCGTACATACAGTGCTTACAGTACTATTAACGTAACTTAATGTTACACCCCCGACTGCGTAGGCAACCAAAGTTTAATGACACTAAGAATGCCTTCAACCACTACATTGATTTTTACATTTCCTATCATGTATGTATGTAAAGTTAAATACAAGCCAGGCACAAACTGGGGCTATAATTACCTCCTAAAGCTTTGTGAGAACTAACGTTACATTCGTTTAACAACTAAGATGCCACGCGATCATACTAAACATTACATTTGCCTTCATCGTGAGCTAAGATTTCCTCGCGTTTCTATCGTTGATTTTATTTACCGTTTTCACAAAATCAATACCGTAGTAAACCGAAATGTGGCTTCTTCTTAAAGAAGCACATTAGTCTCCGCAGAGCACAAAGGACGGCAGCCAAAGCTCTACGTTACACTGTTACTGCCACTACTGTTAGCTCGACACTTTTAACAAGTGCTAGCAAGAACGTTAACGTTAGCTATAAAGTGTTTCTGATTTGCCCACTTCAATTTCTCAGTCAATAATCAGGGACGGTGAAATATAACAAGTTTGCCAGGAACACTTCGGATAGCTATTTGTGCTAGCTATGTTAGCATAGCTCATAGCCGTTTTCTGACTTTGGGTATGTTCGTTTTGTTCATTTTCTGCGTTATGGTAATGGCACAACGTTGCTATCTAGCGTTGAATTGCTGAAGAAATCTTAGGTGGTTTTCTTACGATGATGAAAACATGTAATTTGTGTAGCAAGCACGCACACGATCATGTTACTCTTTTAAAAGTAATGTTAGCAGATGAACCACATTACTTGCTGGTGAGTTAACATCAAAGCAATAGCTTATTACTAGTCAAGTAACGTTACGTTAACTAACGCTAGCTGGCTAGCTTAGTTAGCTGCTGGCCTTTTCTTGGCGGTGGTATGGTTAAGCCGAATATCAACAACCCTACATTTTGTTATTTGCTACAGCTAACGTTACCAAAACTTCTTCTGATGTAAACTTGATCCAAGTTTACCGACAACTCTCTTGCGATAACGCTTAACCCATGACAAGCGCTTAAGAACCGGCGTGTCCCGTAGTTAAAAACGTGCGCTCCTAGGAGAGGCTCCCCAGGACGCATCTTGTTATAAGGCAACTGCCGATGTGTCGCTTGGCTTTTCACAATATCCTCGAATTTCACTTACCGTTAATCTGTTACTTATTCTCAATCCAAACCCCGAGCACACTGGCTGCTTTTGAACTACGACTCGCGTCAAAGTAACAGAAATAAGGAATTTTATCCAACTTATTCTTCTTAGCTGATTTCTCCACTTCCTGATTGAGACGGTGCCATTTTGAATAGCGAAAAAATATTTCCGCCGCTGTCGTCACGCGCAGTGTGGCTTGATGATCGCGAGCAGAAAACAGCGAGGCCATAAATAGTTCATCATTGTGATGTTTGTGCGCAGCTGAACCAATGCTTCAAATTTGAGTAAATAAATACAAATGAAGGCAGATGAGAAGAAGAAATTAACCAGCCACAGCTTACCTAATGTCAACGCATTAAATAATGATAATGCCATGATAATAACAAACTCAGAAAAAATATTAATTACATGTAGTATAATGTTCATAATTTGACAAGTAAAACAAAAATACACTGATTAATGGATCTTGATGTTACTTATTTGTTAGTTGACATTTTATAAACTCATCAGTTACACTATTCACTAAATTAAAATTACAGGCAAGCTGAATTTAGTTTGGTTACAGTATGGTATGGTTTATACAGTACTATACAGCCTTGTGTGTGACCTATAACAGATAAAGTTAGGATTAAGTCAGTTGAGCCATTAAACTCTATAATACCTGAAAATTGAGTCCGATCTTTTCAACCGATTCATATAGGACAGAGGTCTATGAATAAATGTTCCTCCTATAGCCACTGTTTTTAATATCCTTATACCTTAACCCTAACCCAACACATAGTGTTTGTACAAAGTAATACCAATGCACAATAAAATAAAGAAATCTAATAAAGAGCATAAATGGCCTTAAGATTTAAAGTATGCTATAAAAAGGAGAATGAGGTAGATTGTAAAAATATGAAATCAAAACAGACCCATATATTGTTATATGCTTAGCCTTTCTGTATTTTCTGGGTATTTGATTCTCTGCACAACTGAAACCAAACATGTTTTGTTATTCTTTCATACATAGTATTTTCATTTTTGGAAATCACTTGGACTGCTTCCTCACAGACAGTTATTGCATAAAAGCGTATTTCATTTCAGATGTTAAATGGAGATCAAGTTTGTCTTCCTCCTGCAGGTCGCTGTCTCATTTTGGCATCCATATGTCCATTTCACATTATTGAACGACAGAGCTGGAAGAGCTCCAGTTGTTTCCAGCAAACACACACTGCCACTGCTTTCCTGGTATAGCAGTCCCCCCTTTTCCCAACAAAGGAGTGTGGTGGGAAGCAAAGGGTAGTGTGTGTGTGTGTGTGTGTGTGTGTGTGTGTCTGTGTGTTTGTGTTCAAATTCAAGGTACAGTTCGGAAAAAGATACTGGCAGGGTTGCGCTTTTGTTTTCCCTGTCTGATATTGTCTCATGTCCGCAAGGTGTTAGTTGATGATATAGGACGTAAATGCGTATTGGCTCATCATTGAGGACAGTTTCAGTTCAGACTAACACTGCTCTAGATCTTTAGTAATGTCACTGTATCAGAATTGGTTCAACACAATAACTGTGATGTAGCAATTCCTAACGCAATGTTTGGAGACAGTTACGATAATATTTTAATATTACAATACTAACTGTGATTCCACAGCTTTTTGGTAAGGAGTCTGATCTTGATATTGTTTGAATTTGGCGCACCCTGGTGGACTGCAAACAATTGGCTTGAAGTGAACCGGATTTTGAAGTCATTGCTATTTGAAGAATGTAAGTAGCAAGTGGTAATTTCAGCGGCTGAGCAAAACTATATAAAGCAGAGCCATTACACACAGGCACAACGAGGATTTACCTCCATTGGGCAATTTCTGATTATGATTGGAGAAAGCACAGCAGAAATATTTCCCATTTTCTGTTAGTATCCTCACTATGTCACAACCAAAATGAAATGATCTGCAATAACTATGTTCTGACAAAACTGCAGGGATGTTACAATTATATTCGCAAACATTTTTGGCCTATTCAGCTGCTGTTCATAGTGACTCTTAAGTAAGTTATATCCTTCATACTGTGCATTTACTCTTAGTTCAGAGGACATGATAAAAGGCACATCAAAGACACTTGCTTTGTTTGAATCACCTTTGTAGAACTTTGTAGAAGAAGCAAAGAAGCTAGCGGTCAATTTTAATTATGGGATAGTTAACCCATCTGCATTTGCTGTTGAAATGCAACAATGTCTTTTGATAGATGGATATTTTCATGCATTTGAGACCAGGATGTGTGGTCCATAACTAACTTGCCAGATTGAACAGTTAGAGGGAGAAAGAAATAAAACAATTTGTTGCACTTTTGATGCTTGGCCCTCTAAAGATAATATACATATACCATGGCACATCCATACATTTCGTACAACATAGTTAGCATTGGTGAGAATATCATAAACGAGACAAATTGCACACATTTAATAAAACACAACATTAAGTGCTCCGTAGAGCAGGAATCAGCCTAACTTGAAAGTGCATTGCTGTATAAAGTGGAATGTTGGCCTTTTCTCTAATACGACTTATGTAAATCCCTGACAAAACCAAATTGCATAACTTTTCCCCCAAAAGCTTCTTTGTCCCCACTTCATTATTTTCCCAGTAAAGGCCATGGGTGCCTCAGGCCAGCTGTAATTTGATTAATCCACTGAAAGGGTAGCCAGACGGTAAGAGCTTGCTCCGCTTCTTTTCCATTCTATTCAATATTGCAGATCTAATTTGGGATTTTATTTCATGAAATTCATATCGTTTAATTTTAAATGATTCATTTTATTTGCTCCAGTTTTCATAAATATATGGATGTCTTGACTTAAGTTTAATACTGATTTTATATTGGTGTTCCTATAGCTGGAGCAGATTTTATTGACTTGACTAACTGATAACTATGTTGTATTTTCAGCAGTGCTGTGCATTCTGTAGGGAAGGAGGCTGAACAGCTTTTTAAGAGATGGAGACCTTCGTATTTTTATTTTCATTTTCTGCCCTTGGCATTCTTTATGCTATGAACACCATTCCTGAGTTTCAAGAGTAAGTCATAACATTTACTGATTTCTTATTGCTCAGTTTCTACATACAGTCTAGATACTGTACTGTTCTGTTCTTGGGAGAAAAGCTGTATTGCTATATTATTAGTCATAACTTTTATACAACAACATTACAGATCCACAACATTATTAACTATATTAAAATGTATTAATATACAATTAAAACTGTTACACTTATAGAAATACAAGAGTATAAATGTATAATAGCGCAGCTGATTCTTCCTGTATCAGGGATGACTGACAGAATACTTTACCACCACTAGAGCACACTGTAAGCTTAAAACTCAAAGTATATCTCTGTATTTGACTGTAAAATCCTTGACCATGTTGAGCACTACTACAGTTATTCTGTGAATTTCAGAGTTTGTCACTTTGTGTCCTCTCAAATGATTAAACCTGACATTTCTTTGAGGGACAAAACAATGAATAGGGAGCAAAAAGAATGCGATGTGAACAGAATTTGTTTGTAAGGAATAATTTTCGTATTCAAGGTTTATCTATTTTTCCATTTTTTTGGGATACTGCCTTTATTGTCAACAGTTGATGGTTGTGTACTGCAACTCTATAGGCTGAATGAACAGAGTGGGGGAACACCTTTTACCAGATATTTCTTACTTCCGACAGATTTATATACTCTAGTGTGAATATCCCTGCTGGCTCTTCTTTGAGTGTGTGGACATTGACAATCAATACAGACTGCACAGAAGAGTTTGATAAATTGCTCTTGACATGCAATATGCCTCACGCTCTTCTACTCTGCAAACAAACAGTATTGTGTGCGTAAATCTTCCTCTACTGTTCAATTGGAGAAGTAGCAAGGTAGCTTCCCTTTGCTCTCACAGCGTTTGCTTTTTCTTCTGTGAGCATACATTGCGAGTTTCCAGAGGATGTAATGTTGTTTACTAGGAGATACCTTAAGCACATTAATCTTTTCCAGTGCAAGGCAGCGGTACCTTTGACCAATAAACATGGAGGGTGAACTAACATGGCCTTAGCTTGCTGCTTCCCACACCTTTGACTATGATTGATTACACCTTTGTAAAACTTGTGCTTCACATAGTATGATAGGTGGAATATTGCATGGAGTTTAAAAACGGTTTAAATGTATTCTAGACATATAAAATATGGGTTAATACCATCATTCTCTAATTTTGTTCATAAACCCATTGGTTTTGAAAATATTATCTATTACAAAGACAATCTTATTTTGAAAAGACAATTTAATACTGCAAGATCAAATCAATACCAGCAACACAGAATCTGAATGTTCCTGCCAGATGTCAGGACCGAGTGATGCTTTAAACTCAACAATATATTTTTAAAAGCTCTGTGACACTGCCATCTCATCCGGACTCTCCATCCACAGAAACTACCACACACCAGCAGCAGCAGCGCCTTTGCTCAGTGCATCTATCACACAGATTTCCCTTCACACTTCTCCATTACTTCTTCCAGTGCTAACTGTGGGTGTTGCGTGATTATCATTCTCTGTGACTTCCCATTCATCCTCATTTACTAATTTAGCACTGCGGAAAAGACTGGCACAACTTCCATGGGAGGAACTAATTAGTAAAGAGCATGAAGCAGAAAATCAGATGGAGAAGTCTGAAAGCGCAGCGTCAGCAGTGAAATTGTGTTAAAAACATGAACCATGTGTTGTTATTTTTCTTAGATAAGAGTTTAACAGTTTTTTCTTTCTTTCACAGGCCTTATGTGATCTTGGTGACTGGGGCTGCTGTGTTGGTGATTGTGTTTCTGTTCTATTTCCTCATCACTCGTGGCAACCCACCAAAAGACGCTTTATTCTTTGGTAATTAACATGGTTATGTGGATTTCCCAACTTACTTGCAACACATTTCGAAATACACTTTACTACGTAAAGAGTTTAATAACTACTATGCATTGTGCTGGAGCTGATTTCAACTCCCATCAAAGGGTTTCCAGAACCTTCTCTCGCTACACGCTGTGTCAGAGTAAAAACACAAATGGTATTTAATGTGATTTCACCTGATATGTCCAAAGCTGCTTAGACTGATCAGGCTCAGAGCAAAGCTTAGCCAGACTTTTCTGAGGCATGACTGACCCAAACCTTTTGCAAGCTAAGGCACTTGTACTTACCTAACCTTTTAGCTACTCTTTTGAGACTGAGTCCTTGATGAACCTTGAATCAAAATCAGACTCCACAGTCACTACTCCTTTATAACACCATTTATACTCCACTGCTGACTTACTATGAATGCCATTAGGACTTTGGTATTCAGTTTGGTCATGTGAGCAGGCTGTGCACCTCTCACACACCTTTTAATTAAGCTTTTTTGCAGTGATTTGTGTCATATTGTTCCGTGTCATCTGTAGAGCTATCGGTCAGATATGTTCTCCATTTCTAGCTAAGGGTTTCCTCGCAAACACATTTGTGCAGCTTATGCCAGGGGCTATGCTAGCGAGACAGAAACAAGGTGATATATCGGTAGTCTGTGCCCAAGGCAATGCTAGTGTTGTGTAGGACAGAGCTGTGGCAGGCTCTTCTCAATGACAGAGAGCCATAATCCCCCCCTGCTATCTCACCTGTTAGATGTCATAGATAAACCCGGTTGTCCTGAGGATTACAGAGACACTGCTGTACAAGAGAGACAAAATGTGTGTGTGCCATGTCCATCTGTTTTCAAAGAGTGTGTGAAGGACGGGTAGGAAGGATGTAATGATACAGCGGTTTAAGCCGTGTTATCTGCAGAGAGATGCCCGTGTCATAATGCACAGTGATTCACTTTTGACATTCTGCAAAGTCCAGACAGCAACTAACTGTAATGGCTTTAGATGTAGATGCAGACGTGTGTGCTTTGTCCAACAATTACATGTGGAGTTTCTGTTCATCCCAGTTGTATTCAATTGTACTAATATATACTCTATACTGTCCATCTAAAGTTATAAGTGATGTCAGTGTATGCATATCTAAACAGCCTCAAAACAGCAATACCACCCCAACTGCTGTGTGGAGCATTGTCAGTCTGCCATCGTGAATGAGCACTGTGCAGTTGATACCAGGATTAATCACTTCAGGCAACATTTTTCCTGCCATTAACAGTCCAATGGGCACGTTATCCACTAAAAAACCTTTAGCAGTTTATCATAGACAGCCGAGGTACACTGTGTGTGCCCGAGCTGGTTGTTATACTCCACAATTATGGCGATAAATGTCATGCTGTACTGCACACTAACAATGGCTTTTTATTGCCGGAGCCACCTGACATCTCCCATGATCATCCATCTCCAACAGCCAAGGTTTTGATAAGTTTACATGTGATGTGGTCCATTTATTGTTCCCCAGTAAGACTGCTGCCTTCAAAAGCTCCACCAATACCTTGGTTACGCACAATAACCCTCTTTTCAAAGAGTTAGATCATGCCCAAAGCCCCATTTTTTTGGTAATCATGTCACTTGCAATGAAAGTCTGTGAATCTGGTAATTTAGTTGCTGGTATGTGCACACTTGTTATGTAGTGACACATTTGCAAATGGTATGGAAGGGCACACTGTTTCTGCTATTTTAGTTTGTGGTGGGTATAAAGTTTTTGGTCCTCAAAATGTCTCGCAAAAAGCCCACAGGGATTAGAACCTTAAAATACCTTATGTTATTCATGTGTTTGTGCAGTTCCACACTTAAAATTCTGACTTGTGGACTGGACATTTCAGGTCTGCTAGGCTCTTAACCTGAGGATAGAGGAAGGCTGTTCAACATGGACTCAATATAGAAATGCCTCCAGCCTATCGCACTGCTCAAGGCTTAATTTTCTCCCGACGCTGTCCCATAAATTAATGACTACACAGTTGAAATAAAATACTTTGAACTCAAAAATAGTGAATTGAAAAGATGGAAAAAGAATAGGAGTTATACAGAAGTTTAGGCAATGTGAATTTCTCTGCCATTCTTTTTCAAATACAGTGTGTGTGTGTGTGTGTGTGTGTGTGTGTGTGTGTGTGTGTGTGTGTGTGTGTGTCTATTTTTCAAAGGAGGTAGACGGAGCAGGTTGAGTAATTACATGAAACTTTAGAAATCACAGTGGCTTCTAAATGACGTTTGTTCAAGGCTGACAAAGCTGCTTAACATATAAAGGTCTCTTGAGTCCTACAAGTTTTTCTTGAGTGTGACGCTGATATTGTACAGTGGCAGTTACCCCCCACCCACCTTCCCTTACATACACACACACACACATGTGTTTTTATTTTCCTGTACTGTCTCTTGCCTTTGCAGTTTTTGCTGTATTTTCCTTTACCTGTGTCATTGACCTGACGAGTGCCTTGGAATATGACGGCATTATCTCCGGCTTTATGGAATTCTATCAAAAGACAGTAGGTTTTTTTTATTCTCACATCTTAAATGCAGATAATAATTTGTAAAACAATATCTGTGCCTGCTGGACACTTTTTGAAAGATTATTATAAAGATTAAAGGCAACAGTGGAGACGATTACAAAAAAAAATATATCAAAGCACAGAAAGCTTTATTTAAATTCACTATCTGTCATTAGCACAATATACATGTAATGTCTGTGTTTTAGGGAGAGCCCTATCTGGGAACAGCCTATGCCATCATGATGTGTTACTGGGATGGAATAGCGCACTTTATCATGTACCTGGTGATGATCAGCAGGATAACAGACAGGTGGGTGATGGTCAAGTCAGTCAGGTCACGTCAAGCTCATTTATCTTGCTCACCATCACATAATGCGTTTCACCACTGAGCTTCACGGGGTGCATTTATCACACAAAATCCACACAACGGACTGAATTCAACAGTAATTTTAGAAAACAGAGGGTCCTCTAGTGTGAGTTAGTCATAAAGTGCTGTCAGTGAGTTCAACCTCAGAGCGAGCATTGCCTGAGGGCAGGTAATATCATGGAAATGAAATCCTCTTCTAAACAATCCCATCTTTTTACTGCTGGGAGAAAGTGTGTGTGATAGATCTGTAAGAAGTTATATCATCATAGAGCCATGTGTTACCTCAACTGATCAACACTTGGTTTACCTTCTATCTTACCTGCTATCTCCACAATAGTATAATCACCCTTGATTTGTTTTGCTTTTGTTCTTCTCCCAGGAAGGCCTACCGTACCCTGGGCTTGATCTGGGCTGGCTCTTTGTGTGCCAACATGACTGTGTTTGTTGCCGGGATAGTGGCAGGTGAGTCTCATCTTCTATTCCCCTCTCTACCAGTCCCGTGATGACAAGCTTTAATCAAGTGAACATCTGCACTGCCATGTACCATCAGTGTCACAGTTCAGTCTGCCAACAAAATACACAAAGGCCTCATGACTCGCCTGCCGTCACAACCCACAGAACAAAGCAAAAAACAGACGTAAAGCATCTGTTGTTGGCATTTCAAACTGCATACATAAGTGTCACAAGATCAAACACATCTACAAGCAATGTGTTGTTCGCTCTTTTGCATTATCATAGACATTCTGTACTGCATGCCTTTGCCTGTAGTGCCCTGTGGAAATTTTTTTCCCTGTAAGCTCAATTATCGTGTGTCTTTGTATGGGGAAGTACAAACTAATAAAAGTCTCTTCGTTTTTCTTTATTATAGGTAAATTTGGGTCAGAAATCCGTCCAGCCTTCTGGCTCAACTTCCTCTTCCTTTTGGTGCCCGTATGGGGAGCCATCACACTATTCACTAGGCCCAAAGACAGACCACTAATCGGAGGATACAATGTAAGTCAAACGCATGAATGGTTTAGAGGAGTAGTGTTTGCTGAATGTATTTAATCAGGGTAACATACAGCGCAGTCCGGTTGAACAGGATCCAGACCATGAAAGATGACAAAGGGCAGCCAATTAAGTATTTATATTAGTGAGTTGGTGTTATTTCCAGTGGTGTGATAGCAGAAATTCTGTCTGGAGTCATCAGAGTTAGCAAATGGAGATACAATGTTTGACCAAATTTCATTACTATATGTTTGCCACTTCCTATAACATAATCCAGTAATTGTTCTAAGTCAACCCTAACTTACAGACTCTCAAGCACAAAATTATTTCAAATGGGTGACTGTTACATCCTTAGCCTTGGGGGTCTTAATGTAGCTTTAACCCACCACAGACTTGAATCAAAGACAAGTGAGCTTTGTCTTAGACATGTCTTGGACTTACAGCAGCTATGATCAATATTTTTATATTATATATATATATATATATATATATATATATATATATATATATATATTTTATATTAACAATAGATCACATGACTAATTACGCGTGAAATGTTTGTGGTGACGTACCCACAGAGAATCACCACCCAACTCTGCAGTCGCCCTAAACTCTACAGAGCTTTTCAGCGTCTTTAAGGACTATGAAAACCTGAAGAGAGCGAGGCCTCATTCACCCATTCATTCATTCCACTATGTAGAAACACATTATTAAAGTGAGAGTGAGAGTATGCTATGAAACCTTGCATGACCTTGCCTAACCTAATCTATGCTGTACATTGTGTTGGCATCTCCCCACAGGCCCAGCATGCTCAGACCACCTCATTGATCTGGCGTCCCTTGGATCTGATCCTGGTCCTGCTCATGTTAGCTGCCATGGCTTTCACCATCCTCAGAGGCTTGGTGAGTGTACACCACATCCATGTTATGGACAGAGTTTAGGGCGAGGCTGTAGTGGTAGTTTTAAAAAAGATGTAGCCTGCACTCTTGCTTAAGCAAGGGAGTGTTGAGGATTTAAACAGCATGTAGTGTTTTGTTTTTATAAAGCAGTACATTCAAGTAATTGGATGTATGAATGATAGCATGGGAACATTATGTGTTAATTCTCAAAGGATCTGGCTTTAACACACTAGGCAATGATATGTGAATTGTGTATTGTAACATAATTACTATTTTGCACATTTCATATTGAAATAAAGGAATGGATTAAAGAAACTGAATAAAAGATATAACTTGTTAATTGGTGAGCTTTAGAGGTGGTAATAGGAGGATTGTTTTTACGTTTGAACAGATCCCTTCTAGCGCTTTCTCCCTGTTTCCAGTCTTTGAGCTAAGCTAAGCTAAGCTATCTGGCGGCTGACTGTAGCTTCACATTTAGTGGCCAGATATCAGAGTGGTATTAATTATCAAATTTACTGTAACTCTCAGCAAGAAAGCAAAAGTGTTTTTTCCCCAATATGTCAAACTCATCCTTCAACCATGTTCAGTTTGTCATTCTAATGACCACTTACGATACACAATATCCTTCTGTCTATCTGGACGCTAATTTTTTTATTCAGTGTCAGGGAGATGTTCAAATCTATTGTAATAAGCGGGTGTAGTTTGCGGTGTTGTCAATTTCAATTGCGTAATTTTGTGAAGTGTTTCTCTTATTTTGTCCACCATCTGTAGGTGGCTCTGGACTCTCCACTAGAAGCCTGTTCCATCTACCTAAAGCATTATGAACCCTACCTGAAGGATCCTGTGGGATACCCCAGAGTTATGGTGAGTGCTTTTTTCTCCGTCTGTCTGCACACTCATACTCTGTGTCTGCTGCAGCAGCAACTGAATGCTCCTCTCCAGCCTGCTTCAAATAACCAGCCACATAATGGACCTCTGATTTCATGGATATCACTCCGAGTGTGCTGGAAGCTTGCCCTTATCACCCTCTTTTAGCTCACAGCTGATTACAGAGCCATTCTTCATCATTACAGCAACAATGAGTGAGGGTTGAGAGGCCAGCACATCTTTGTCTCCCTCCTTCATTTGCGTAAGATTGATAACAGATTATTATTGTGGCTGGCAGTCTGCCGTCCTTTTATTTTCTGCTCCTGACCCTAAGAGGCTGTGGGTTTTTGTTGTGTTTTGTTTGGCGTACACAGCTTTGTCGATAGGTTATCCAAAGACCTTGTCGGGGCTGCAGTCCAGGCACAATTGCCATTGTCATTGATCAGACAGACGAACCGCATGCTGAGAACTTGATAAGCTAATCCCTCGCCCAAAGCCCCCCATCAGCATCTCACTGGGTGGGAGGAGGGTGTGTGTGCAGCATGTGAAAGTATGTCTTGGTTAAAGGCCTGTGTGTGTGTGTGTGTGTGTGTGTGTGTGTGTGTGCCTAGCATCAGCTGATAGGCACTTGTGTGTATATGGGGGTGTGAAGAAATGAAATGAAATTTGGTTTGTTGCACAGGGTTACACTGTTTCTGCAGTGACTGACCTCTTTATTCACTGATGGTGATGAACGATATGTGACAGATCACCGTGGCAGCACTAAAAAGACATTTCAACAAAAGACTGAAGGGCATATATGATTGGCTTTCATGCCCTGGGCTGAACTCATTAGAATTCATCCAGACCTTAGACCGAGAATGAAAAGAAACTGTTCAGTGGTATAATTTGAGAGTTTTATAAAGTGGGAAACAGGCTTTCATGCGCCAAATATTTAAAGTTGAAGGTCAAGGCAGTCTCTGTAATGACCCATGTGTGGAAGTAGTAATTTGTGCTGAGGGCGCAAATTTGAGCCAAAAACTCTAACACTGCGTTAAGAACTATTTAGAAATACTGAGACTTTATTTGAGTGTTTCCATTATGTGAGAGCTCATTTGACTTCTTTACATTTCAAGGGGATCCTTGTACTTTTTGCTCTACTACATTTATCTTATGAATGCATTCACTAGTCATATTGGAGAATACATTCAACAAGAGATTGGCTTAAGGTGATAAAATGATGTAGTTAGCTGGATGTAGTTGGACCCAGAACTACTGGACCATATATATGACAAAATATAATGAAAATTATATTTATGACAAATTATAAATATGACAAAAATATCAAAATACTGTAAAACACTCAGTAAAACACTTTAACTTTTACGTTTGCTGCAGTTTTCAAGTATTTTTACCATACTGCTAGAGCAACTTTTATGCAGCAAATTATTCTGAGGGCGTTTCTATTTCCACATTTAAAGCAGCCCTCTTCTGTATTCAGTGTGAGTAAGTGAAGTGCATTATGGGCCAGAGGAGAATGAGGATGTACTGTATTAATTGTCTGCTGGAGTGTGAACATTGACTGACAGTGATGGAGGCGAAAGTCTTTGTGCACTATGATCTGGATCAGAATCCCCATTCACTGGAGTATACACTATATCATACACCAACAACTCACCTACTGTATGGAACCACAGAATGAATGTATGTTGTGACATACAGATCCAAGACATTCAAAATGTGGAGAAAAACTGCTGCCAACTTTTACAAGAAATCATCAACCAACCAGGTACTTTGAAGTTGCTTAAAACAAAAATTATTTTGTATTTGTCTTATTAGATGCTTCTCATGTTCTTCTATGGACTACCTCTTTTGGGTGCGTTTGTCTATGGTCTCCTTAAGCCCGGGTGCACATGGATGTCAGACTTGACTGTGTTCTTCGCTGGAGCCATGATCCAGGTAACACCATGCACAGTCAATTTGTGAAACTGGCTCTGAATACATAGTGTGGGCTACAGGTGTAGCATACTGAAGTGGGTTGCACCAACAATTTGTGGCATTACATTAAGTCATTGTTATAATTACTTCTACTGATTGATTACAGTTTTCATCAACAGTTTATGTTCATTACAAAGAGGTCTTACACGCGTCACTGCAATTAAAGTCTTTGTAGTGAGCTCTCATCCTGCTAATGATTACCTGGACCACATTTATCCTTTGAAGCATACTTTCTGTAATAAACAAACTAGCAGTGCTTTCTCCCATACTAATCTGAACCATGCACCCCGAGGAAGCACATGATTAAAGCCTTCTTTTATTGTTCAAGAGGTTACAGATTCTACCATCCCCATTTTCTGCTTCTTAAGTCTCTGCATCTCCTCTGCAGAGGCTTATCTTCCCTTTTAGGATCTTTTTCTGTATATTAATATTATATATTTTAACAGTAGACTAATGTCTGTGGAAGTTACTTCTCTTGAGGGTTCATGGAAAGAGATCAGTTTCAAATGACCTGCCATTAGTGTGAAAATAAAACAGACAATAGTGGACACATTTCAGTATTAGTTTATGACAATGCAGTAACAATAACTTCTGTCTTGCTGTCTGTGTGTCTCATTCCAGTGCCAGTGGGCCCACATCGGGGGGTCCCTCCACCCTCGAACCATAGCTCCATTTCGTGTCCCAAATGATGGTTTCTGGTCTGTGCTGGCAGCTAACTTGCTCTACGCAGTCACTCCTGTCCTGGTGGCCTTACGGGTTCACAGTAACCCCTATTTCTTCCTGAAGATTGCCCCCTTTCCTGGGCAGACCGGTTTGCCAAACAGCGAGGAGAAAGATACCAAGTACAAAGACAAATAGCAATGCTTAATCTTCTCTGACCTTTGGAGTTAATTACTTATCTGATGATTCATGAAGAGCTGTTTTATTCCAAATGCCATGTTTCAAAATGCCAAAATACACGATTATTTTGCTCAACATCTTTTAAATGAGTGGTTATTTAAATGTTTGCAATACTAGGATTCCTGATGGCATGCATAAACAGTAAAACTACTGTATGTCTACAGACATTCATTCCCCCCACCAGATGAATTGTAACAACTTTAGTGAGCCTCTGACATTTTCTCCAGTGACAGCATTAGGTCACGTTTTTCGTTTGTCCTTTGGTTTATGACCAAATATATGCAAAACTAATGACATTCCCATCAGCCTCAGCTGTACTTGTGTTTAGTACTAATTAGCTTGTACTAATTCTAGCATGCTAACATGATAAACTAAGATGGTCAACATGGTGACCTGTTGAACATTGGTTTGTTAACATGTTAGCACAGTCACATTAGTGTTCAAGTCACAGAGCTGCTAGAATGGACAGACTCTTAGTTTGTTTCATAGTTCATAGAACCGGTTCACTGTTGTTTGCATCCAATGAATGATGAAAAAGGAGATGAATGAGTATTAAAGCACATCAGGTTATTGACCAATTCCATAACCTTCTAGCTCAAGGACCCTAGCAAATCAATGACAAAAGAACCACAATAGAAACATCAAAAAGACAATTGTAAAATAGCAGAACTAGCTGTAGAAGTTTATGATAGCCTACAAAACAAAAGTGCACATAGAGTAATATAAAAGCAAATAGCAGGTATTGTGTTTCAAAGGTTAATTTTCTTAATGTTCTGTCTGAATATTACATTACAACCACTCTGTGCTGTGTGCAAGTCAGATTTCTGTTTCAGTTTTCTCACCCCTTTTAGGTAAAACTTGTTAGATATTAACAAATATTATATATATATATTTATATAAATATAAAACAACCAACCTGACATTGGAACCATTTTGATTTATGATTTATATTTCAGAGACACTGTGCACACGTGCTAAGTTGTTCTTACACCTCTGTTCAATTCTGTTCCTAAAAATCTCACACAAAAACAAATGGTTGGCAGGGTTGAGTTTGGAGTGTATGATGACTGCTACACAGTGTGGCATTCAGCCATGAAGGTAACAAATGAACACAAGTATGTATGACAGAGAAGGTCAGAGCCAGAGGATTTTTTTTAACCACGTGAACTGGCTCGAGGAGAACTGATGAAAATACTGCAAAGCATCCTCCCAAGAATTCAACCCAAACCAGTGGGTTGTGCATGTCTATTTTTGAAAGCACTTTTACTTTACTGCATTTTCCCCACACTGGCCTACGAGTTTTGTACAGAAGGCTACTGTACATACATTAGTATCTTTGTATACCTCCAGAAGCAAATTTACCATTTTTAGATAATATTAAGACAATGCTAGACAATTATAGTAATCATAATCATAGCAGGGGACTTGAATCGTATTTGAAAAACTTGACCAGCATTGTTTTAAAAAAGAAATGTTTAAAAAATACTACAACAAGAGACTATACTTACAGTATCTATATATAAGTTTTCAATGAAATTAATCAAATTTTCATTGCCTTTTTGTCAATGGGCTCAAAACTCACTTAGAAATGAAGCACACGCCTGTTTTCTCCATTGCTTGCATCAGCCACTATTCTGATTTTAATGTGAGGTCTCCGGGTCGGACTCAGCACTGTGCGCGCTCCCGAGCCTCTCAAACTACAGTGACAACACGGCAGCTAACGACATGCAGTCCACTAACACCATAAAACAACCGGCTCACAGCAAAACACAGGCTTCACGTAAGGATACAAAACAACAATAAAGGTTTATGTGCTGAAGCCCAAACAGGTTCAGATGATGTCGAGTAAGAACGAAGTGAGCATTAGTAATGCTGCAGAAACACAGAGAAAGTCACGTTAGCTCGCAGGCTAACGCCGTGCAGTTGCTAGTGTTATCCGGTGCAAAGTTATATAACGTTAGCTTTCCACATTACTTCACCAACTAACGCGACCCATGTTACTATCCTGTGTACCACTGTTGATTTAGCCTGCAAGAAAGGATGTAACGGTAAAAAGCAAATGTGGAGGGATTTGTTTACTAACGTTAGCCTATAGTGGTGCAGCTAGGAGCGGCTAGCTAATGCTACAGTAGCTCGGACCTGCCGTTACTCAGGTACACAGCTTCTCCGCCTCAGTCGCTGTAACTAACGTGACCCACATAACATAAAACACTGCAACAAAACGGCCACAACAACCCAGAGGAAGGAAGAGCCATCCACTATCACTAGTTACAGTAAAGTTACTTACTGCGGTCTAACTGTCATAAAGAGTGACACAATCTCGATTTAATATCCAGTCCAGCTCACTAACCGTTTTGTTATCATCCATTACATGTAGCTGTGCTGACATTGCTGAAAAATATACAGATAGTAAAGATAATTACTGGAAGCAGCAGGTGAGCTAACAATGTAGCACGTCGGCTAAATGCAGTAAATGTACCGTGATCATGTAACGAGCATGGATTAGTTCAACCTGCAGCTGATAAAACTATTACTGTAACGTTGCAGTGGGAGTTTACCTGAGTTTCCAGCTCTGTCTGATCTTCCTGCCTGTCTATAGCCGCTGTCAAATCTGCCTGTTTTCGGGCTGAATGAAGTAACGTTACGGAGTCGGTATTGATCTGCGTGCTGGTGTTCCTGCGTATATTGTGGTATTTCTGTATGAAAGCGGTTGTGTTTCGGATTCTGCTCGCTCATGAGTTCAAGCGAGCACGCGTACGAGCACACGCCTGGTTGCAATCTTAAAACCGCACCGCTAGTGGCCGCTGGAAATTACATAATGCACCTTTAATATTCATTTAAAAGTGTCTTTTAACCATGTGGGTTATTGACGTGTGCTTAGGTAGAATAACAGGATTTGGGCCCAAAAGCAAGACACTCAACTCGACAGGATCAGTTCACATATTTATTTAAACTCAACACAAAAATACAATTTATGGTCAGCAATGTCCAAGGGATCCAAACAAGGAATAAATCTACATGCAGGTGTGAGCAGTGAGTGAGCCATTGGTTGCAATTTACAACCCTCACCACTATGCCACTAAAACACACTGAGCCGGCTTTAAGGCATACATTTAGAGAAATGATCATTTCCAACAAAGAAAAATAAGGAATTTGATTCACAAATCAAAGAAAAAGAAAGATCATTAAAAATCTTTACAAGAGTTGAAAGCTAAATTGTCTGAACTTAAACAACACAAATTGTTAATAATTACAGATAGATTTCAAATAATTTTAAATATTTGTGTGTAATACTGTTCTCTGTGTGTAGCATGAAGGTGGATAAAACTTTTCTCCCTTTAGGTAGTTAGGTAGATTTATTTTGTCACAATATAACAGTTTATAGAGTGAAATTGAGTTTGTAACTCTCTTCTGCTACATAACAGACAGTATAAATTAATATAGAAGCAATTATAAAAGCCAAAAGCAAAACTCTCAACTTAGCAGGATCAGTTCACATAATAATTATTTAAACTCGGTAGGTTTATTGTCACAATATAACAAGTTATAGAGTGAAACTGAGTTTTGTCCAAGGGATTCCAAACAATGAATAAATCCACACGCAGGTGTGAGCAGTGTTTTTTGCAACCCTCACCGCTAGATGCCATTAAAACTTACACACTGAGCCTTCAAGGCATACGTTTATAGAAATGATCATTTCCTTCTCAACAAAGAAAGCTTGAAGTTTGAATTTTTGTTTTTATTTAAAATTTTCGTGACATCATCAATATATTCTGGAATTCAAAGACCAATTGGCTTTGATCAATGATTCTAGAATCTGTCTTTCATCTATGCTTCTAGGATCCTATATAACCTGGTGTGTATAAGGATTATTCTCACTTCAACAAACGGCCCAAACAGTCGAACACCAGTTGCCTGGTTATATCGAAGTACTAATGGAAAGACACACAGAAATAGCAGAATATACTCCAGAGAAGACTGCAATGGATTCCAGTGAATTTACAAAGACAGACAAAATGTTTTCACATAAGGACATCCCGCAGATTGTCCAGTTATTCAGAGAGGCTGATGCAGACGGAGGTGGAGGGCTTGATATGGAAGAGTTTTGTGGAGCGATGAGGAAGTTATATGGTGACGTTGATAAAGAAGAACTGATTGCCCTCCACATGCAAGTTGACGCAAACTGTGACACCACTGTGGACCTTGGTGAGCTAATGGACTTCCTATTGAATAAAAATAAGGCGTCAGAAAGCATGGATTATAAAAATCAAGCCTTTCCCAAACCTATCACCAAGATACCTGTGGATCACTGTAAAGCAATCATTCGTCTGCTTTTCATTCCCTACGAGGATGGCAGGGAAACTGATCAGGATTATGAGGAATTAACAGGACAAACAAGAAGTTACCAGAGAGGTAAGTACCTCTCCATCAGCTCGGACGGTATTCTCAAAGCCTGGACTGACAGCTTTGACATGCAATACACAACTGCATTATACAAAACCAAAAAGACACTTCCTTTTTCACACATCAACAAAATGTGTGTTCATGACATGGTGTACCTCAGAGAACTGAAACAGCTGGCTGTCTCCACTTCTGACAGGGAACTGTTATTCTATGACTGCAATGACTTCCCTGAGATGTTTAAAATCAGTCACTCTTTAATAGTAGAGGACAACATAGTGAACGCCATGAACTACTGGTCCAAAGACACTAAAGCAGTGTTTTCCTTTGGTGATGTAAAAGGCTTTTTGTCTGTGTTTATCTCCTACAACGTAAAGAAAAACGGTCTCTTCTGCCCAGAGCTGTACGACAAAATCTCCCTGCGGTCGTATAAAACAGTTTGTGTTTCAGCCCTGTTGAAGAAAACATCTAAGGACTTTCTATGTGTTAAAGTCCCTGTCTTTAATGATACGTGCATGACGATCCAATATTTTACATCACTCAACTCATTTGCCATCTGCGGTAATTCATCCAAGACAATGGTCCTTGCTGGCCTACCCAAGCCTTCCAGAACCAAAGTCTCTAAAAAAGTCTTCAGGAGCCGCGGAGACAATGAGTTTTTCACATGTGTTGAATACTCCCCTTCAGCTGAGCGTCTGGTGACTGGTGGTACAGATGGCTTGCTGCGGGTGTGGTTTCCCCACAAAACCATGTCATGCGAACAGGAATTAACAGGACATGTCAAACCCATCACCTGCATTTCATTCAACCCCATA